AGTCTTTTCAAGTTTTTGTATTTCTGACAACCGGGACCTGCCAACTAGTGTGTGGCCTCTACGCAGGAACTGACTCACCATAAGCGGACAGCTTCGACTCCCTGTGATTTATCCCTAGCTGACCAGTCAGCACTCCTGACTCACTGGCCCCCTACCCACCAAATATCCTTAAATACTCGGATCCCCGAGTTTTGGGGGAGACTGAGGAATAAAACTCTGGTTTCCCAAACAGTCGGCTGTGTGTGAATTATGCTTTCTCTATTGCAATTCCCCTGTCTTGAAAATAGACTCTGTACCGGCAACGGGCAAGGCGAACCCATGGGGCGGTTACAGTGTCTGCAACACAGACACAAGCGACAGAGACTTGATCAAAATATACCAGGAACTCCTGCAAGTCAGCGATGGTAAGAAGCCGGGCAGCTGGGCCTCCTACGCCTGCCTCGCCGTTCGGCCGGATACCTCTGGGCTTAGCACACAGGGGTACAGATTCCCAGAAGGATGTTCCCCGCCGCGTCCGGCGCCCGAGCTCTGCAGCCGCCCCCTGCTCTGCCTCCCGCACCTGGAAGGCGTCCCCCGCCGCTCCCTCCCCTGCTTCCTGCAGCGGCCCCCGACCCCAGTCCTGGCCCCACCACGGATCTCGCCTCGCCGCGCCGCGCCGCGTTCGGCCCTGGCGGGTTCGGCCCCGCGGGGTCGGCGCCTGGGCCGGGTCCATCTCCTGCCCTCCCGGTGCGTCCCGCGGGGCAGGAAGGAGGCGAGGGCCAGCCGTCCCGTGTCGTGCCGGTGTTTTCCCACGTCCGTCCGCGGCAGCTGATGCGGACCCAGGGAAACCCCGCCCGTAGGACCCGCGCGGCGTTCTCTGCCCTGAGGTGCGCGACCCGGCCTTGGGGCTGGAGCTTCGTCCTCGGGGGCGGGGCTTCGTCCAGGCGCGTAGGGACCCGCCGGCCTCGCCCTCTCGCGCCGCTCTCCGATTGGCCGGCGCCCGCGGGGCATTGTGGGCCGCCCGCGCGCCCGTCGCGTCGCCGCCGCAGCTGCAGTCCCCTCGGCCTTGCTATGTCGAGCTCACCCGTGAAGCGTCAGAGGATGGAGTCCGCGCTGGACCAGCTCAAGCAGTTCACCACCGTGGTGGCCGACACGGGCGACTTCCACGGTGAGGACGGCGCGGAGCCCGGACACGCGGCGCAAGCGCCCTTCGGAGGCCCCGGCGCCCCGATTTCCCCGGGTCCCCAGTTCCGGGACGCGGACCGGGTGGCGGTGCCCCAGGCGGCTCGGTTCCGGGGGGAATGAGCGCAGGTACCGGTTGCTTGGGCCAGGGGCGGCCGTGAGGGGAGCGGGGCCGGGGGCAGCAGTGAGGAGCTGAGGTCAGCCGTGAGGGGCTCGGGTGCGGGCGGGACCCACGGGTCCTTGCGAGCCGTGGGGCACGAAACCGGTATCCCAGCCTGGCCCTCGCCCTCGCCCTCCTCCCAGGGTGGGGTCGGCTGCGCCCTCAGACCCCGCCCCCGGGACTGGCTGCGGGCAGCCCGCGGGAGCCCCTCTGCACCCTCATGGGTCGAGGCAGCTTTCAGTGCCATTGAGTTCAGGAGAGATTCGGGGTAGATCTTCGAGCTGACTTCCACGTGGCCAGTTTGTGGTCAGCCAGATGCAGTTTTGTTGGGCTGATATTGTCTGTAGAGCGGGGACATCAGCTAGCTCTGACCAGAAGCTGCCAGTGCCGCCACCGCCCTTGAGCTCTGCGGTGCCCAGTGGGACAACCCTGTGGGCGGCAGGTGCCCGGCCTGGTGGACAGCCACCGCCAGGCGCACCGGGTGGGTAAAAGCCGGTGCCCGTGACAGCACAGGGTTGTTCCACTGTTAAATACTGGATTTTCCTGGGCTTGAATTGTTTACATTGGAGAGAACTTGGAAAATACAAAGAAGGCTTATTTTATTAATACTTAGCTCTTCTGTCCTCTGCAGTGCAGAGTAGACGAGCCTTGTGTGTATGTTTTGTTGAGAACAAGTAATATTTTTTTTAAGAAAATCATGAAACGCTTCATGGATGAATGCTGTGAGTACCTAATACGGAAGTGACTTCCTCTCTTTTCTGCTTTCTCATGGTGACTTGAGAAACAGGCTTTAATTCCTCTTCGGTAACTGAGTAAGGGCATTGTTTATCTAGCAGAGCCTAGAGAGTGAACTGGCATATTTGGCTGCTTAACCATCAAAGATGGGGATTCAGCGACTGGCTTGGGGTGCCACAGTCTGCTCCAGACCCCTCTTTGGGAGATCCAAAGCTAGAGCTGTGAGTCCCTCACACACACAGCCCCCTGTTGTAGTCCAGACCTTTCTCTTTATAAGAAAGAAAGCTCCAGAAAAGGGGCTACACATTTTTCTGCTGCTCAGTTTATTCCCTTCTTTTTTTCTCTCTTTTTTTTTTTTTTTTTGAGACGGAGTCTCCTCTGTGGCCCAGGCCAGAGTGCAGTGGCGCGATCTCGGCTCACTGCAAGCTCTGCCTCCCGGGTTCACGCCATTCTCCTGCCTCAGTCTCCCGAGTAGCTGGGACTACAGGCGCCCGCCCCTGCACCCGGCTAATTTTTTGTATTTTTAGTAGAGACGGGGTTTCACCGTGGTCTCGATCTCCTGACCTCGTGATCTGCCTGCCTCGGCCTCCCAAAGTGCTGGGATTACCGCGACCGGCCAGTTTTTTCCCTTCTTAGCACTGAGAATAATTTGCAGTTTGCCTGGTGGACAGAGCCCTCATCTGTATTGTTCCTTGCTGGCCCTCACCAGTTAGGGCAGAGCTGGTGCGGCAGTGCAGGGCCAATAAAGATGAATTTTCCTAAACCCATACCCATAGCAGGCCTGGGGAGTCCTGGGTTCGTGGTTTTGTTTTGTTTGTTTGTTTGTTTGTTTTTGAGACGGAGTCTCGCTCTGTCGCCCTGGCTGGAGTGCAGTGGCGCGATCTCGACTCACTGCAAGCTCCGCCTCCCGGGTTCACGCCATTCTCCTGCCTCAGCCTCCTGAGTAGCTGGGACTACAGGCGCTGCCACCACGCCCGGCTAATTTTTTTGTATTTTTAGTAGAGACGGGGTTTCACTGTTAGCCAGGATGGTCTCGATCTCCTGATCTCGTGATTCCCCCGCCTCGGCCTCCCAAAGTGCTGGAATTACAGGCGTGAGCCATCGTGCCCAGCCTTGTATTGTTTTTTTAAAGAAATCTTCTGGCCCGGCGAGGTGGCTCACGCCTGTAATCCCAGTACTTTGGGAGGCCGAGGCAGGTGGATCACAAGGTCAGGAGTTCGAGACCAGCCTGACCAACATGGTGAAACCCCGTCTCTACTAAAAATACAAAAATTAGCTGGGCGTGGTGTTGCATGCCTGTAATCCCAGCTACTTGGGAGGGCGAGGCAGGAGGATCGCTGAACTCAGAAGGCGGAGGTTGCAGTGAGCACCACTGCACTCCAACCTGGGCAACAGAGCGAGACTCCATCTCAAAAAAAAAAAAATCTTCTAAACCCAAGTCCTGACATATTTTTTAAATGAATATTAACAAAAAAATACATTCATTGATAGTATATGTTCATCAATGTTATGTAGTTGTAAAATAATCTGTTGGGTTTGTGATCTGTATTTTGTGAAGTGAAGATTCTTCACTCCTTGTGGGAGGGAGACACAGGCCACTGGAAATAGAATCAAAGCTATGAATGCTCTTCCCACAGTGTGACCCTCCTCAGTTTTCTTCCCACAGTGTGACCCTCCCCAGTTTTCTTCCCACAATGTGACCCTCCCCATTTTTCTTCCCACAGTGTGACCCTCCCCAGTTTTCTTCCCACAGTGTGACCCTGCCCACTTTTCTTCCCACAATCTGACCCTCCCCGGTTTTCTTCCCACAGTGTGACCCTCCCCAGTTTTCTCTCCACAGTGTGACCCCCCATTTTTCTTCCCACAGTGTGACCCTCCCCATTTTTCTTCCCACAGTGTGACCCTCCCCATTTTTTTTCCCACAGTGTGACCCTCCCCAGTTTGCATTCGGTTTAAGGGACCCTGGACCCTGAAACCCATTTTTGCCCCAGTGGGCCTTGGTTTTGTTTTAATTTTGTAAAAGCCATTTGCTAAAAGCTGACTTTATCAAGGGGTGATTTTACAGGATGAAATGGGCTGTTTTCAGTGCCTCATTCAGGGCATTCTGGCAGACCTGTGTTAACACTGTGCCAAGACAGGCTTTTTCTTAACTTGTCATGTTGAAATGGGTATAGATGCACAGAAGTTGCAAAATCAGCCCATACAGTCCTATGAACCCTTCAACCACTGTCCCTTGTGGTGACATCTCATGTAACCACGGCGTGGTATCCACACTGGGAAGTGGGCACTGCTGTGATGCTGATGCTGTTATAGACTGCAGGCCTGGCTCAGGGCTCCCCAATTTCCCCCTGTACTGGGGAAAGGAGGCTATGTGACAGTTTCATAAGGTGTATAAATTCCTGTGACTGCTGTGACAGGACATAGCTGTCCCATAGGCACTGAGATTCCCGTGTTCCTGAGAGACACCTCATTCCCTGTTCCTTGGCAGCCTCTAACCTGTTCTCTACCTCTATAGTTTTGTCATTGAAAGACCCTTTGAAAGTACTTATTCCAGCCTTGGCAAAATGGTAAAACCCCATCCCTACAAAAAAAAAAAATAGCCAGGCATATTGGCGCACACCTGTAGTCCCAGCTACTTGGGCGGCTGAGTTGGGAGGATCACTTAAGCCCAGGAGGTTGAGGCAGCAGTGAGCTGTGACTGCACCACTGCACTCCAGCTTAGGAGACAAAGCGAGACCCTGTCTCAAAAAAAAAAAAAGTACTTATTTTCCAAATAAAGTTACTGAACTGGCTAATCTCCTGGAGCGATGGGCCATTCTATGGGTGTCAGTGGCCATAACTCTTTACCTCCACTTTACATTGGACAGCCTGATCAACAAGACCCCAGGTTAAGCCTCGTTGGCTTCTTTGAATTCCTAGCTTGGTTACGTGAGAAAGAACTAATGTGTTAAAAGAAACAGTATTTTTTTTTTTTTTTTTTTTTTTTTTTTTTTGAGACGGAGTCTCACTCTGTCACCCAGGCTGGAGTGCAGTGGCCGGATCTCAGCTCACTGCAAGCTCCGCCTCCCGGGTTCAAGCCATTCTCCTGCCTCAGCCTCCCGAGTAGCTGGGACTACAGACGCCCGCCACCTCGCCCGGCTAGTTTTTCGTATTTTTTTAGTAGAGACGGGGTTTCACCGTGTTAGCCAGGATGGTCTCGATCTCCTGACCTCGTGAACCGCCCGTCTCGGCCTCCCAAAGTGCTGGGATTACAGGCTTGAGCCACCGCGCCCGGCCAAGAAACAGTAGTTTTAAGAATAAAGAAAATAATCCTGGGGTTTTTGTTTTTGGGGTTTTTTTTTTTTTTTTTTTTTTTGAGACAGGGTCTTGCTTTGTCACCCAGGCTGTACAGTGGTGCAGTCACGTGGTGCAACACGGCTCACCGCAGCCTTGACCTCCTGGGCTGAGGTGATTTCCCCCACCTCAGCCTCCCAAGTAGCTGGGACTACAGGTGTGTGCCACCACTCCCAGCTAACAGTCCTTGTTGAAGATAACCATGTGGTATCTGTGTTGAAGTCAAAATGTAGTGACAAATCTCTAAATTTAACATTTTATTTGGGAAGAAATAATTGCAATTCAAGCAGACTGGGTGGTCTTCGATCTGTCCAAAGAACAAGAGAAAGTTGGGGCTAGCCTCAGTGGCTCATGCCTGTAATCCCAGCACTTTGGGAGGCTGAGGCGGGTGGATCACCTGAGGTCAAGAGATCGAGACCAGCCTGGCCAACATGGTGAAACCCTATCTCTACTAAAAATACAAAAAATTAGCCGGTTATGGTGGCAAGTGCCTGTAATCCCAGCTACTTGAGAGGCTGAGGTGAGAGAACTGCTTGAACCCAGAAGATGAAGGTTGCAGTAAGCTGGGATTGCACCGCTGCA